TACAAAAAGAATTATCTCCCTCTGAGCCTTTAATTAAAATCTCACCCAGGCATTTCCAATTGATTTTATTTCAAAACAAGGTTTTCTTTGTAAAACAAAAGCGAGCCGAGACGGGGGTGAGATGGGAGGAGATAAAAACTGCTTCCTGTTCACCAGCATTAATGTAATGTAGCCAGGGCGGTCAAACCGAGCGGAGAACGAGTAGAAATCATAAATGTGTTAGAATGTCTTCTTCTCTAGATGGAGTTGTTTTTGACATTGAGTTAATGTCAGATACATTCAAGTTGATTTTTAAGAGGGGGAGTCAAATGATAGGGTTGAGCTTTTGTTTTGTTTGATTTTCCACTTGGTTTATGTTGATCACAGACGTGTGTGTAGCTATGGTGGGGAGGAAGAGGCAAGGGGGAATGCGTCCGGTCTGTTCCAGGAACTCCTGGGGAGAAAAATGTAGTAACATTGTTTATTCTTGCAAAAAAACATAGAAGGTTTCAAATAGCTTCGACTGCAGCATCTGCCAACGCTTCATCCTTAAACTCTTAGTGTTTTGTAAGAGATGCAATCGTGTTATTCACTCTCCATATTCCTGCAAACTCCTAATTAAACCAAATGGACTTCCTGACTTAAGGACCCTCTTTAACATCTGATATTTGAACACACATTACGCCAAGATTTGAAGCTATGGGAAGAAGTATTTCCCAAAGCCCTGCATTTCCTTTCTCCTTTACATCCCCAGGGCAAATATGAGGAAAAGGGTAACCTGACGTTCTGGTATATGTTTATCAACTCTGAGGAAATGGAATGTAATTTTCTATAGGCAATGTTATAAATGGCCATTGATTTCTAGAACATCCCGTGAAAAGCTTATTTAAGCAGTGATGCAAATGAAATTGTACTAGGGTTCTGATTGATTCTGGTTTTTAAATTTATTTTTTATTTTATTTTATCTTTACATTTATTTATTTTTGAGAGAGAGAGAGAGAAACAGAGTGCAAGCGGGGGAAGGACAGAGAGAGAGGGAGACACAGAATCTGAAGCAGGCTCCAGGCTCTGAGCTGTCAGCACAGAGCCTGACTTGTGCTCGAACCCACGAACCGTGAGATCATGACGTGGGCCGAAGTCGGATGCTCAACTGACTGAGCCACCCAGCCCCCCCCCCCCCCCCCCCCCACCAGATTGATTCTGGTTTTAAAAGGCTTTTGTGGGACATCTTAAAAATTCGACCACCTTTATAAAAAACCATGTATTTTTGTGGGAAAGTACATCCTGAAAGAGTTAACAAAAGAAAAACCCAAGACAGATTGAGTTTGTAAGATGGGATGCCACCTGTCTACACCCAGTCTTTGAAGGCACCTTTCAATCACATCACCTCTTTTTGTTTTCCTACCCAACCTGCGGCAGGCTGAGCGCCGTCCAGAGGCTCCTCTGCTATCCCTGTCTTCATCAGGAAGGGGAGGCAGAGCGAGCCGGCTTCGTCTAACCCGCCTGTCTGCTCTCCCTACTCACCCTTGACACTGGGCAGCGCAGACCCACTTGGGCCTCCCTCCGAAGGACGGGCACACCCCCCTCGTTTTGCCTGGAAGGGCCCATCTTTGCTGCTCCGCTTTGCCTCCTCGGAGAAGCCCCCCCTCGCCCCGACTTGCCCTTGTGGGCCAGAGATCTGCTGCCCTCTGGAGCCTCTCCTTGAAAAGCTGCTTGTGATCGCTTACAAGTTTGGGGCTTCAGTGGGCTAGAAGCACCTTGAAGGCAAGGACCAAACTCTGTATGTGTGCGGCGAGCTGCTGACACAGTCAACATGACCAAGGAGGAAATTAACCAAGGGGTGCCGGTGGCTCAGTCGGTTAAGCGTCCGGCTCTTGACTTCGGCTCAGGTCATGATCTCCCAGTTCGTGGGCTCGAGCCCCGCGTCGGGCTCTGTGCTGACAGCCCAGAGCGTGGGGCCTGCTTCGGATTCTGTGTCTCCCCCTCTGTCTACCCCTCCCCAACTCATGCTCTGTCTGTGTCTCTCTCAAAAATAAATACACGTTAAATTTTTTTTTTTTAAAGGAGGAAATTAAAAAATGAAATTTAACAGAACTCCACTCCTTGTAACTTACCCCTTCGTGTCCAACCTGCTCTTTGGCCAGCAATCACATACAAATATCTCTCTTCCTTTTACAAAAAGCAATGGCTCAAACGAAGCAAAAGACACAGGGAGAAGAAAAAGAAACAGAAACTGAGAGGGGGAAAAAAACAACAACCCCCAAACTTCAAGAACCTTCCAAACAAAAAAACCAAGCATATGAGAAACATTCTAAATGTTGGTGTGTGAACTACTGAGTCAAGGTTGAGACTGAAAACAGCTGCTTCATGCACCAGTTTACTTAAGGGTGGGGAGTCAGGGGATATGGGGCCAGAAGGAGAGCATATTATGGGTGAAGTTCTTCAAGAACTGAGTGGGATATTATGACCTGACCCCAAAAATGGACCTGGTGTTTCTGGCACACCAGCCAGCAGAGGGTAGCTACAAATACAGCATGCATCGCCCCTGCCCCTGCCTTCGTAATATCCTCTTTCTTTTCCAGATAAATATTAAATTGGTGACTCTTGTCTCCAGAGCTAGAATATGGCAGGTGGTGGGTGTAGAAATTCTTAGTAACTGGTGGGAATCTTTTTGGATGTTTTAATTTGGCACTTGAAGCTAGGGAACATGGATGAGCTTAGTTGGAAAAATGATTATGCAGTTAGAACTAACTTTGAAGAAGCAGTATTATATGCCAAACACTGTGCTGACTCACATGCATTAGCATATTTAATCATCACGAAAAAGAGGATGTACTATTTTATCGGTCCCATTTTCTGGGCAAAAAATCCAAAACATTGGTTAATTTAAGCAACGTGAAGAGCTTGGAATCGAAATGACACTTATTCTCATGGTTTATATAAGCTCCCCCCCGTGGAACTTTCCGGTTTCGACCAAAGTGCTGTTCTGGGTGCTGGGCTGTGGGATCTGAGCTGGCTTCAGCCAGAGGAAGGGTCCTAGGGAAAGAATGGAAGCAGAAAGAAATGAAAAGGAAAGGACATTGAAGTGACTAAATCTAAATCACAGTTTCAAAATTGTATTTATGATACTAAAGGAAACTATGATATGATTCAATATTTATAGGTTTTTTTGGTAATGGTTACAGATTTCCTTAATTTTTTCTATCTAATATCCGTGATTGTTAATCTCACACATTTTCTTTTTTTTTTTTTTCCAAAACAAATTTAAGTTTATTTATTTATTTTGAGAGAGAGGAAGGAAGCACACACACCAGCATGAGCAGCAGAGAGAGAGGGAAAGATAGAATCCCAAGCAGGCTCTGTACCATCAGCACAGAGCCAGATGCAGGGCTCAAACTCACGAACCCCAAGATCATGACCTGACCTGAAATCAAGAGTCGGTTGCTTAATCAACTGAGCCACCCAGGTGGCTCACACGTTTTCTTTACTTAAATTGTCTCATCACTGTCTCCACGTGAATGGATGAGGAAATTTATTTAGAGCAGCCAAAGCCCATCTGGCCACAAGATGAATCCCATCATAGCTCTTGAAGACTTAGGTTAGGACCAGCATTGATGGGGAGAGAAATGTTAGCAGATTTGTCGGGAACAAAGTCAAGATCTCTTCAGTTCACTCTGGGTAATGTTTTTGAGTGTTGACTGGGTGGCCGGGCAATAAGCTCCCACAGGACTGACAGGTATTCAGGACTCAGAGCTTACCTTCACCTTCCAGCTGGAACAACAGACACATGAATCAATAACCATAATGCAATGTGATCAATCCTATCTTCAGAGCCTGTGCAAAGCACCAAGACGGCAGTGAAAGAACAGTTTTTTGGGTCTATCAATATACAACAGCTTGCCTTACGGATTAATGCTTACAATTTGCTGGTGCTCTTGGAGTTCACACTTGCCATGATAATCGATAACTTAGAAGGTTAGTTTTGAAACTCGGCATGAAAACAATTGCGTCCTATGGTCGTGGAATGCCCAGAATGCTGACTTCATCAACTCACTGAAATGTTGAGGATAGAAAGCAATGGTATGGTGCTGCTATGGTTGGCCCATTGGCAATTAATAGTCATCTACTGAAGGCTTACTGCATGTAAGATACTCCAGTAGCCATTATAGAACAATGGGCAAGTGGCTGCGGAAAAACCAAATCCATCTAAATAAAGAACACTTTATAGAGAATACATCTTCAGGCAGAATCATTTAATTATATAGCTCAAGATAGCTGAAGAAAACATCTAGGTTAACTCTGTCATTTGGCAGATGAGGGAACTGAGGCCTGGTGGTAAAAAATGATAAGTTTTTCAAATATTCTACATCTAATTAATGACGGATCTGGGACCAGGGTCCTCAGAGAACAGATAGGCAATGCAGTGAGTAGCTCACCTGTGAACTCTAGAGCCAGACTGTGTGGGCTCCTGTCCCATCTCCAGACTGGCTGGGTTATCTTAAGTTTTTATAAACACTCTGACTTTCAGTGTCTTCATCTGTAAAAAGGAATAATACCATAGTATCTGTCTTATATGAAAATGAAAGGATACATATAAACCAGTAATTAAGAATAAAATGAGGGGGTGCCTGGGTGGCTCAGTTGGTTGAGCGTCAGGTGTTGATTTCGGCTCGGGTCATGATCTCACTGTCACTTGGAGCCCCATGTCAAGCTCCACGTTAGGCTTGGAGCTGCTTGAGATTCCCTCTCTCCCTCTTCCTCTGTCCGTCCCCTGCTTAAGCTCTCTCTCTCTCTCTCTCTCTCTCAAAATTAGATTATGCGTATTAACCAGGAACATAATAGGAGCTTGATAAATGTTAATTATTAGAACTCACGTGTCCCGGTCTCTTCACCAGTATTCTTTCTGCCACAACAGTACAATGGGCTTTCGTTCATTTTTGTTTCTCTGACACAGAAAGAAATCTATGTGCCAGATCTGTGTGCTCATATGGTGTTTCCATTGCCCCTTATATCTTTTCTAGGGCCAAGGAGATTAAGACCAAGTTGGGAATTCTCCTCCAGAAGCCAGACTCAGCGGTTGACCTTGTCATCCCGTACAGTGAGAAGCCGGAGAAACCAGCCAAGACCCAGAAGTGAGTCACAAACATGGGTTCCGCTCCTTTTCCTCCAGAGGATGGCTATTTCTCAGGTGTCCAGGACCCGCCCTCCCGTGTACAGCTCCCCGCCTTCGATCACTCGCCGAAGGTCATAAGATCCCTCAGAGAAGAGGTGGTTTATAAATAAGCGTATTTTTACCCTTCCATGTCTGGAGCATCATATTGGGTATTGGCAGGTGACTTAAAAAAATAAAGATAAGGCCCTGCCTTGGGACCCTGTTGCAGAGGCGGACAACACCAAGGCAGCCGATTTAAGCCAACTAGCTCCTTCTCTAAAATACTATTCCTTCAGGGTCCAACAGAGGAGCAGAAGACTCTGTTCCCTACCAGAGGAAGGAAGGAACACTCGACCAGCCGACTCTAATGTACATTAAGAGTTTTTAACCCCGATCCGTAAATTAATATTCTTGACTGGACCTCTCTCTCCTTTTCCCCCACCTCCCCACTTCCATCGATTCAGGCCTGGAGAGAAACTAGAATTCTCAAGATTCAAGCTGTCATGGTAGAGCCCAGCCGACCACTGGAGGAACTGTCCTCATAGCACCCACGTCATTTTCATCTCCATCCACCCCCTGGAACATTTTCACGGGCATGAAAATCAAGAAGGGCAAGTGGGTAGGAGAGAAAACAGATGCAGTCGAATTCCTTCACTCTGCCATCTAAAAGCTTTGAGGAGATCACGGAAGCGTGGTGGAAACACAGGCACCCCTTTATACCTGAATTTCTTCTTAAACGTAACATACGTATAAATTGGCCAATCATTTCTTTGTCCAAATGCCCTTCGAGCTAAGATAGCCGGGTGGGTTGGGAGAGGAAGAGACGGGTTATTCCTCTTAAATCTTTTTCCTTCAACCTAAGTGGATATCTCCATTCTCCTCTTATTACTTCAAAGTGATTCCACGCCGGAAGTGAGGCGTAATTGGGTTTTCTGCATTTAGAAAGGGGAAGCTAATTCAGGGTGGAGTGGCTCGCACCAGGCACTGGCAGGGAATGAGAAACACATTTCATAGCAGCGACAGATCAAAAAAGCCATCTATTTTGAAGAAAACAATGTAGTGGTTATGGATCTGTAGGAATTCACTTTCGGAAATAAATATAGTACTACATTTCCTGCTTTGATTCTCTGTTTTAATCTTGCACACAGACACTCGAGCTATTTGGCTTAACAGGGATTCAGAGTGAAGCAGTTTTGGAAGAAAACCTGGGGTCGATATTTACTGGATGATTTTCCTCTCTTGTCTTCTGTCGCCTTTCTTCTTCCAGGAGTTTAAATTGCTTTTTGGGGGGGGGGGGCCCCCGCCTCCTTCATATCCCTAGAGACTATTGTGTCTCTCTTGCATTTTTCACGGTGACCATTGCAAGGCTTTCTCACCCTCTGTCAAACCCCTCAACGCCTTCCACCTCTTCATGTTTGGCCAATTTCCTTGCCTTTTAATTATCATGAAAAGACTGTGTTCTGCATGAGCTTGGTCGATCTCTCTTCTCGCCACTTGAAATTTCTCTGCCTTTTTGTACCCATGTTCCTCTCTCACAGAAGAAAATAAACCTTCTCCAGACTGAAGATATTTTTAACCCCCTCATCTTTAAAAAAAAGCAATCCCTTTTTAAAAAAGCATTTCTACTTTTTCAATGTTTTTCCTTTTCTTCTTTTTCTTTTTCAATTTTTTTTTTTTTTAACATTTATTCATTTTTGAGAGAGAGAGACAGAGCACGAGGGGAGGCGGGGCAGAGAGAGAGGGAGACACAGAATCTGAAGCAGGCTCCAGGCTCTGAGCTGTCAGCACAGAGCCCGACTCGGGGCTCAAACTCAAGAGCTGTGAGATCATGACCTGAGCCTAAGCCAGACGCTTAACCGACTGCGCCACCCAGGTGCCCCACAAGGTTTTTATTTTTCTCATTAAGAAAACAGAAATCGAGGGGCGCCTGGGTGGCGCAGTCGGTTAAGCGTCCGACTTCAGCCAGGTCACGATCTCGGGGTCCGGGAGTTCGAGCCCCGCGTCGGGCTCTGGGCTGATGGCTCAGAGTCTGGAGCCTGTTTCCGATTCTGTGTCTCCCTCTCTCTCTGCCCCTCCCCCGTTCATGCTCTGTCTCTCTCTGTCCCAAAAAATAAATAAACGTTGAAAAAAAAAATTAAAAAAAAAAAAAAAGAAAACAGAAATCGAAAAAAATAGAAACGAAAAATAGACGAGAGCTGCCCACATCCCTACCACCCATAGCTGGCGTCTGTTACCATTTTCGTGTTCTTAATTGCTCTTTTCCTTCTGGGGCCATGTTCCACTCTGAAAAAACTCTCTCAGTCCCCCACTCCCACTCCTATCCCTTTCAATGCTTTCATGGGGGTAATTCTAGAAACAGAAAGGGTTAATCATGAAGCCCGTAAAACAACCAAAGCATTTATTTGGGGTCTTAGGGATGGCAATCTAGGAGATACAGAGCCTACCCAAATTGAAAATGTGCTCCGGATCGCCAACGTGAAGTGCAAGCTTATGAAGTCAAAAACCACAGGGTTACGTAATTTGTTTTGAAAGAATGGTGATTGGCGCTGGCACAGTTTTAACTAATACACAAGTGGCTGATCAGCTAATAGGTGTTACCTTAGCTCTATTTCGGTCCAAAGTAGAAGGATGTGTCCTGGGAGGTGGTCCAGATGCGCTGACCAAAGTCACACATTTATGGTGTCGGGAGATGTACCTGCTTCCTCAACGTCTTCTCGACTCCATTCTGGGTCACTCCTTACAATGCTTACTTGGTTTTGAATCTTCTTTCGCAAAAGTCGCCGCTTCCAGGATCTTCTCTTCACTCTTTCTGGTCAGGTTGAAACCTTACTACCCACAGGAACCCTCTCGAAGGCCTCGCCTTTGACTCATCACCAGGGGTTGACTCTGCTCAACGGTCTTCTCTCTCTCTGAGGACTCCCACTTTTGTTCATCCTGTCCATACGCGAGCATTTCCCCAGGCTGTGCCGTAGGTCCTCCTAATGAATAGTAAACAAATTAGCACAACACATAAATTTAGTTTGCAATAACTGTTATCATGGCTTGTCATATAATCAATTGTAAAATGCTTAGCAGCTGATACAGATAATCTTCTTTTTAAATTTAATTTAAATCCAAGTTAGTTAACATGTAGTGTAATAATGATTTCAGAAATAGAATTTAGTGATTCATCATTGGCATACGACATCCAGTGCTCATCCCAACAAATGCCCTCCTTAATGTCCACCGCCCATTTAGCCCATCCCCCCATCCAACACCCCGCAAAGCAACCTCCAGTTTGTTCTCTGTATTTAAGGGTCTCTTAGGGTCTGCCTCCCTCTCTGTTCTTATCTTATTTTTGCTTCCCTTCCCTTATGTGATACAGACATTTTGTAGTTCATTTTATACTCTAGATGTTCCTTTTCTCCTTCCCTCTGCCACTAATTTTAAACTACACTTTGCTGTTGCTGTTTGACCACTTTATAACTCTAGAATGACCACACAGAAGCAGGCTCTAGCTGTGAACATTTACCAAGTGTTCCCATATGCAGACACTGACCTGGTGAGCTGCTGAGTGAACATCATGGCCAGGATTACGGCCGTATGTACGATGTTTGGGCCAAAGCTAGACAACGAAAGAGCATGAGCAGGGGAGGGGCGGAGAGAGAGAGAGGGAGACACAGAATCCGAAGCAGGCGCCAGGCTCCGAGCTGTCAGCAGAGCCTGACGTGGGGCTGGCACTCGTGAACCGTGAGATCATGACCTGAGCCGAAGTCGGAGGCTCAACCGACTGAGCCACCCAGGCGCCCCCAGATGTTTTCATCTACATCCTCATCATAGGCGCCCAGGTCACTGTTGGCCATGGGGTAAGGGCTCAACAAATGTCCATGAAAGGACCTGAGCTGAGTCGTGAGCACAATGCCCTGCGGGGAAGGAAGGGAGAACAGAGCAGGCACATCAGGGCCGATAAATAACTGGGATTTCATGTCCCTTGTCACGAAGAAGAGGATGTGAGAACATTGCCAGGAGTGTTCCAATACGGGCCAGGGACCGTGTGGATTAAAAAACGAGGAAAGAGGAACCCACAGTGTTTAGAGAGGTCAAAATACTTTCCCATGGTTACAGCTAGGACGTGTCAGAGTTGCCAACACTCATAGCAATGGTTCACGGGGCTAACATTTTTGAAATCGAAGGTTCAGTGTTATTTACGGCTTTCATCAACCAGACTGACTATGGGCACGCTGAATCATTGCTCATGTTTGCATTCGTTTGATGCACACTTATTGCAGGGTAGATTAATGATGTAGGGGATGCACCATCGGACAGGTGGAATGGGAAAAGTTCTCCATGACTCACCGACTACGTTTAGGCAGTGAGTTGCCACATAAGCGATTCAATGACTAAGTGGCTAAGAGGACAGTAAAAGAGAGAGGACACTTCCGGTCGAGATGGTCACTTCCTGGACCAGGTGGCATTTATACTGGGCATTAGAAAACACACAGTTCACCATCTCTGTAAATGTGTGTTTTGCCTTTCATGTGAACTGGCTCCCTCCCTTTCCCCCACACCCACACTCCGAGACCAGGCCCACTCTCTGTGGTCAGCTATGGCCTTGCAAACCGGGGCACTTATTGGCCATTTAGATCTGCGTCTATCTTGTTTCCAAAGAAGTCAGACTTAACGAGGGCTGGCAAATTCTGAGAATCGGGACAGGATGAACCTCCGTTACCTCCTAGGCTGGTAATCAGAACACTGGGCTGAATGCTGTGGGGTATGTGTCCTGCTCAACTGTGTCCTTGAATCAGTTTGGACTAATTTAACCCCCAGGCGGACTCTGCACATGTCCTTTTCAGGAATTTAATCTTGGCTGTGATGTACCGCTCATATTGGTCATTAGTCTGGTTCTAACAAGACCATTTGGGACAAATTGGATCGGGCAGCACGCTTAAGTCAGGTGCACCTGCTTATGTGATTTCTTCTGCCTGTGTTCCTCTGTGCTAACCAGAGGAAAAGCGGGGAGAGGAAGGTGATTTCATTTTAGGAGAATATTTATGAAGTGAGAAAGAGGTTCAGTGAGGGAACCAGGCCTTTCCCTTGCTCTCTTTCTTTTGTCCAATTATTGAATGTCCTGCTCTTTCTGTCAACAATCAGTAGAGACTTGAAGGGGAGTCTTTTATTTTCAGAACATCACACCTACTGTAGTGAATTAAGATGCAGAAAGCCTTATGGTAAAAATGTAGGTATGAAATAACATATACATAGGAAAAGTTCTCAGTAGGGGGGTAATAGAGAAGAGCCAAAAGGAGTTACGACCTCTAGAAAGCAGGTCCTTTTCTGGTTAGAAATAAAACGAGGCAGCAAAACATAGGGACATACTTGCCATCCCTTTTTCATGATTTCTCTTTCCTGAGCTCCTTTACACTAACCAGAAGAAAATGGGAGGAAGGAAGGCTGTTCACATCTTAAAAATAAATTTCCGAGGGATTAGTGTGGTGTTCTTGATCTGTGACACCTGTGTTCTTAGCCAGGAAAAAGAGAAACCACCTAAGATCGTTTCACCAGGTTTGTTACTCTTATTTTTGGCATGTTTAATCTTCAAATAGTAAAAACAGAAAACATTATGGAGAATTGAATAATTAAGACCCCAAATCTGCCCATATTCCATGATGAAAAGTAAAGAAGTGAAGGAGGGGCACCTGTGGGGCTCCGTCGGTTAAGTGTCTGACTCTCGGTTTCGACTTAGGTCGTGGTCTTGCGGTTCGTGAGTTCAAGCCTCACGTCGGGCTCTGTGCTGACAGTGCAGAGCCTGCTTGGGATTCTCTCCCTCTCTCTCTCTCTCTGCCCTTCCCCCATTCGCTCTCTATGTCTCTCTCCAAATGAATAAATAAACTTAAAAAAAAATGAAGTGAAGGAAATATAGCACGTTAGCCAAAAAAATCTACTGCCATATTGGACTCCCTACGTAAATAAAGTGTATCTATATAGCAAAGCCTGGGCAGCAAAATGAAGAGTGGAATTAGCAAGTGTCTTATCAAGCTCAGCTGCTAATCTTAATACTTGAAACCCCAAGATAATATTAAAAAAAAAAAAAAAACAGAAGCAGGATCAGTCCTGGACTGTCTGAACAGTAGATAAAAATAGTGAAGAGCTAAGGAAGTTCCAATTTAGGAAAAATACCTTCACTGGCCTTGCTATTCTAAAAAATGCCTTGTTACTTTCTTTTGATTTGACGGGGAAGGACTCCCATCACAGTGCAGGAGCGAGAGCAGGGGAGCCCCGGGGAGAGCACAGTCAGCCATATTTCCCAGACTGCACCAGCCGGACTTGACACAATCCTGCGGGGAGAGGGGAATTAGTGGTTATAATGAAATAGCTGCAGGGTTGCTGCATATAAATGTTAAAATAAAAACAGCCCAAGGGGAAATTATATGTTAGCTATCACCTTCTCCTTTTGAGTCAGCATCTGGAGCGTTTATGGACAACATTCCTAGTCACGATGTAGACCACTTTTCTTCTCAGGAGGAAATCTTGCAAAAATCACTATCTGTCCTAACAGGGCAGGAAAAATGCACCCAGGTTTTTAAAAACGTAGACATACTCTGATCCCATTTCCCGTGTGAGGCAGCATTACACCCTTCATCTTCCAGCCTTGATGGCAATGGGATGTGGATGTGGAATCAAATGCTCTTTGCTGATTAAATTATGTGGTTAAAGTGAAGCATCGGGGAGGCAGAGAACATGAGTTCAATCCCTATAACAGGGCCACTGGATTTCGTTCTGTTGCATTCGGGCCACAAAGGGCACAATTGGAGGTACTGTCGTCAGATATACGAGAATATCAAGACACAGCTTCATGATGAATGGACTTTACTTCCAAAAAGAGGCAGACCTAAACAAATTGCTCAAAAAGAGATGAAAATACACGATACAGATGAGGGACAGCAAACCCAGCCCACCAAACCCAATTGCTAGAAAGAAAATAACTCACACTCCCTTGTCCTGAGGATGGGTCACTGGTTGTAGCTTTTCTGCGAAAAGCAGATCCAGGACATGGTCAGTGGATGTGGTTAGTACCCTTCTCATGGCGGTCACCTTTTTTTTTTCTCCCCCTTAATTCTTGATGAAGACCCCCGCTGGATGAGGCTCTGCAATGGCGTGACTCCCTGGACAAGATCCTGCAGAACAACTGTAAGTTGGAATTGTCTTTTATCAAAGGTCAGGGGAGGGAACAGAGGCAAAAATCGCCTTTGTGTTGCTGGTGTCCTTCTCCAATTTTGACACTTCTTCAATTTTTCGTTTTTTCTTTTATTTATTTACTTTGTTTATTCTTGAGAGAGAGAAAGAGAGAGAGAGAGAGAGAGCACAAGCTGGGGAAGGGCAGAGACAGAGGGAGAGAAAGAATCCGAAGCAGGCTCCGGGCTCTGAGCTGTCAGCACGGAGCCCGATGTGGGGCTGGAACCCAGGTACTGAGAAATCATGACCTGAGCCAATGTCAGATGCCTAACCAACAGAGCCACCCAGGTGCCCGCTTCAATTTTTCTGTGTGGACTCAACAAGGGAAGGATGCCCAAGGAGTGTGGTTACCCAGATCACAAGAAGACAAAGTTCTACTGTACTGTGAGAGAATGTGAAAAGAAAGTGGCTTGAGGACTCATGATCGCAGATTATTTTCCCATCTATCCTACTTATTCTTATGAGCCAGAGCAAGTGGCTTGACCTGTGTGTTTCTCAATATTTTTTAAAAGTTTTTTAAACGTTTATTTATTTTTGAGAGACACAGACAGAGCACGAGTGGGGGGAGGGGCAGAGAGAGAGGGAGACACAGAATCGGAAGCAGGCTCCAGGCTCCGAGCTGTCAGCACAGCCCGACACGGGGCTCGAACCCACGAACCATGAGATCATGACCTGAGCCAAAGTTGGACCCTTAACCGACGGAGCCGCCCAGGCGCCCCTCGATATTTTCATCAGTAAAAGAGAGACACTGCCCTTTCCACCTTAGCCTCATCATGGCTTGGTAAGGACTGGTTACAACAGCATGAAGAACAGTGGATTAGGAACCAAGATCGGGTAGGTATGTCCTAGTCCAAGCTGCTATTGACGGCTCTGGTGGCCTGACATGCGTTGTTATCTCCCCCAGCCTTAGTTTCCTCTTCTGGTGCTTGCCTTCCTTCAAGACACGACAGAAGTGCCAGCAAGAACCTGTTCCCACGCTAATACCAACAGAGCACTGCTTGCCTCTCCCCTAATCCAAATCCTTACTGATCCTCAAGGCCTGCGGTATCGAGGTTAAGGTTCCCCATGATAACAAGATGGCTGGTCTGCAGTCAAACTGAGGTCTTCTTCCTCCCCCTTATGGGATTTCTACATGTAATCCCTGTGGCCGGAATACTTTGTATTCCCATCTCTGTCTGTTGAAATACTTCCTCTCCTATGAAAGCAGATCTGAATGCTGACTGCCTAGTCTTCCTTGGCCATCCAGAATGATTTATCCTCCCTCTGAGCTTCCAGAGAACCTGTCTGCACATCTTTTCTGCTGCTTGATACTACCTACCGAGTACTTCTTCACCGCTGTCTCCCTCCGATGATAGATTATAAACTCAGGGACAGCCAAGGCTTAGCCTTTTGATCTGAACAACTTCCCAATAAGAAGTGCACGATATGGGGAGAATAAGTATTTATGGAATAGTTCATTTTAAGAATATGATTCAATTTAACGTATCCAACGTGTATTTCTTCATCTTTGCCCCAAGAATGGCATATGAAATTGTTGGATGCTTTGCAAAAATAAGGATTTAAAAAATGCTTCTTGCAGGTGCATCATTATTAATAAGCACAGCATAGATAACAAAGAACATATGTTGAATCGTGTATGAAAAATTTTTTATGGCTCAGTCGGCTAAGCTTCTGACTCTTCGTTTTGGCTCAGGTCACGCTCTCACGTTTCATGGATTCGAGCCCCGCGTGGGGCTCTGCACTGACAGTGGGGCCCTGCTGGGGATTCTCTCTCTCCTTCTCCCTCTGCCCCTTCCCCACTCGCACATGCGCGCACTCTCTCTCTCTCTCTCTCTCTAAGTAAATAAATAAACCTAAAAAAAATTATGTCTTGTTTTGAGTAGGGCAAGCTTCTGCTTACCTGATGTAGAATCATTACCTCTTTGTAACTTTCTTAATCTTATCCACTTTGATTCTCTTTTTATCTCTTCGGCTAAACAGAATACCATGCCCTGACACATACAAAGTGTTCAGTAAATGTTTGTTAACCTAACGGGTGAATGAGTTCATTCATTTTGCTTCTTGGATCCAGAAATTCCACGAGGTTGATTAAGAGAAAAATATTTATGTTTCTCAATTGACTTATTTATTGTCTTACACAATGGTTTTGGGGCCAATTGCAACCAGACAGATGGTATATTGCTACATTAAGAATACTAAGTACCCTGGGTCCAGGTATTTATTGCTAATGTCAAGAAACCTGAGAATTAGCAGACCTATTTTCATGTTTACAAAACCATGAAGGAGAAGGATATATATTTGTGTGCCCATATCCAATCCTTTTCAGTCCCGCTAATCCTTAGGGTCACGTGTTCATATATTTCAGGCTTTTAGGGACGGGGAGCTATTTGGTATAAGAAAGATAGGGGCAGAAGTTAAATCAGAGGCAATTAGTGTTAACACCTTAGCATTTGTTGAGGGTCTGAAGCCTTTCAGCTTGAGGCCTGAGACTCACAGTAATATTTGCTACTTCTCAGTGGAGAAAATATACATTCACGTCAGTGTTGTGTAAATATGTATATATAATATTCACATTTCATTTAATTATATACGTTTCAAAATTACATATGCATATAGATGTGTTACACAGTATGTATCTGTGTATACGTGTGTGTACGTATAATCTTAAGTTCTACGTAATTATCCTCCTAAGTAATTAACGTTTTTCTTTAAATGTGTTTTGTCACTTCTGTTTTTTCGTTTTTTTAATGTGTGTGTAAGAGAGAGAGAGCAAGCGAGCAGGGGAGGGGGGCAGAGGGAGAGAGAAAGAAGCTTGAGCAGGCTCTATGCTTGGTGCAGAGCCCATCTCGGGGCTCGATCCCACAACCCTGAGATCATGACCAGAGCCGAAACCAAGAGTCGGAGGCTCAACCAACTGAGCCACCCAGGTGCCCCAGGAATTAACATTTGAAGGCTGGGGAAATTAATTTCCCCTAGTGATAAATGGAAAAGCACTTGATAACCATTCAGGTCAAAATTCTTCCTTTGAAAGAGTCTTTCTTTATATTCAAAGAAGCTCAGGTGAAAAAGAGAGGTTCTGGTATGAATATAGAGATCTCGCAGAAAGAGTGGAGACCCATGCCCTAAAGGGAGGGGGATGCCATTAGTAAATAAGACTGCCTCTCTCTCGAAGTTTGTTCCTCTGCCCTTACTCTCCGTGTCTCTCTCTTCCTCTTTATTTTTCCATTCCACCCTCTCCCCCGGCTTCTCTCTATGGCTCCCCTTTTTGCTCTGTGTGTCCCTCTTGCCATGTTGTCTCTGCCCTCCACTTCTCGCTGTCTCGTTCTCCCCAGAGAAGGACTAACAGAACACCAGGCACCAGAAACCTGAAGAGACATTTGACCTATTCTCCCGAACACCCACTGTTGTGCCCCGTGAATAACCCTAAGCCAAACTTTAGCAACTCAGCTCTCGGGAAATGTTATTGGAATCTGCTAAAACTCATGGTCTGGGATCAGAAATAGCGAACATTAGCTGTGAATGATGCAAAATAGGTAACCAAGAAAGATACGTTTGAGAAATCTATGCGTTTGAAACGCCACAATCTCTGCTTGGATGTTTGATTGGATAAACTAAACCATTTCACCTCGAGGAGTGGCATCTTTGTTGATTTACAGAGAACAGTTGGCGTTCTGTACTGCTCATGCAGGAGGTTGCCTCACAATTGATAAAGTTCCCCAGTATTCCTTAAATCCACATTTTTCTTGAGCGGAAATGAAGTCAATTGGTACCTAACCTCTTAAAAATTAGACAGTTAAGGTGCTATTCAATCTTTCCCAACTAACAAGCTTTCTCTTGCTTTTCCTCATTTAAGAAATCATTTTTAAGCCTCCAGTGTATTCAACTCTGTTTTGACAGTATGTCAATTTCTTACCTGTTTTGTGTTCAACTCTGCAGGTGATGACACCTGTATTCATTAGGTCCGTGGGACAAATGACCAGTGTGCTGCTCATTAAACACAAACACGGATTGCACGCGGAAGTCTAAATAAAACAGTGACATTAGGGGCACCTGGGTGGCTCAGTCCGTTAAGCGTCTGATTCTTGGTTTCGGCTCAGGTTGTGATCTCACGGTTCATGCGTTCGAGCTCTGCATCGGGCTCCATGCTGACAGTGCAGAGCCTGCTTGGGATTCTCTCTCTCTCTCTCTCTCTCTCTCTGTCCCTCCTCTGCTCACTCTTTTATCTCTCGCTCTCTCTGAAAATAAATAAACTTAAAATGAAATAAAAAAAAAAAAGACCGTGACATTAAATTCCTCCACCTGACTGTCTTTAAGAGCCAAGGAAGGGGGCGCCTGCGTGGCTCAGTTGGTTAAGCCTTGACTTCAGCTCAGGTCATGATCTCGCGGCTCGTGACTTCGAGCCCTGTGTTCTGTGCTGACAGCTCAGAGCCTGGACCCTGCTTTGGATTCTGTGTCTCCCTCTCTCTCTCTGCCCCTCTCATACTCTGTCTCTCTCTCTCTCTCAAAAATAAAAAACACACATTAAAAAAAATTCTTTTAAAAAAGAGCCAAGGAAGAATGAAACACAATCCAGTAGCAGCGGGAAAGTTTATATGCGAATTCTTTTTTTCCCAGGAGCTCCAAAAGGTCAGAGCATTTCCTGAGACACCCTTGAGATTTGGACTCGTCCGTGGGGAATGGAACAGCCCAGATCTAGCCATCTCTCTCTCTCTGTGTCTCTTCTCCCTATCTTTGCCTTCTCCTCCTGCTTCTCTCTCTTTGGTTTCCAATATTCTCCTTCCTTTTTTGTCTGGCTCATCTATGCCCTCCTCTGACTCACTGGCAACCACAAATTCCTTCAAAGCAATAATAATAATAGTATCAGCAATAGGTTACTTGTACTGTTTGTTCACGTGTCGGGCGTTGCCCAATGCGCTTAGCATGTAGTGCTTTATTTAAGGAGCGTAATAATTTTAGGGCTTCGATACGATAACAATTTCTACTTTTCAGAAAAGGAAAGTGAGGTTAGGTAATGTGCTCATGAAATAAAACACTACCGTGGTAGATTTATTTTTCTTTTAGCTCTCTGTCCTTCGGCTCTGCGATGTGGGAGGAATGGCGTCCCTTAGTGTGTCTTATTTGGCTCAGCGTCTGTCTATTCGATGTGAGGCACAGATGTGAGGTGGGCGGGAAGGAGAGGCGAAGGTACATGAAACTCAGACCTTGAACGCGAAGCCTGAACGGCCTCCTGGAGAAGACAGGCATGTCAGGGAACAGCAGCAACAAAAGGATAAAGAAAGCTCTTCTCCCATCACCATCCAAAAATCTTCAAGAGCAAGGAGAAGGCAGTGTACCTCCCGTCTGAGGCAACCTGGGAGCTGGCTTTTGAATGATGGCAAACACTGATTTTAAATTAGGCATGAATAAAAATGATGAAAGACAGTACTTCCTGAGCTCTCATTATGTTCGACACCAGGTAAGAGCTTGGCGTGAATTGCTGAGTCCTTACAACAACCTTATCACGTGGGTTCACGTGGGTTCCATGATTATATCCGTGTAAGAGGAGGCAGTTGAGGCTCAGAGAGGGTGGGTCACTTGCCCCAGTTACCGAATAGTGACATTTCTGAGTGGTGATGTGGTGAAACAGGACCCACCCGAGGGTTCCTTGACTCCAGAGCCCGTGCTCGGAACCGGCAAGCTATGTAATGACACCTGTCAACTATCCACTCATGACATTCCACCATTTTTCCTCTAGGAGGGGAGATTTATTCTAATCTCCCCCCTTTAATATTTTTTTTAATATTTATTTCTTTTTGAGAGACAGAGAGACAGAGCATGAGTGGGGGAGAGGCAGAGAGAGAGGGAGACACAGAATCCAAAGCAGGCTCCAGGCTCTGAGCGGTCAGCACAGAGCCCGACGTGGGGCTCAAACCCCTAAACCGTAAGACCCTGACCTGAGCTGAAGTCGGACGCTTAACCGACTGAGCCACCCAGGCGCCCCTCGCCCTTAATAGTTTTCCTTTATATACCCAACTGACTTGGATTTGTCTCACACTCCTTTTATTTTCCAAGTGGTTTTAGAGCTGGCTTCATTTCGTCCTTTGGTAGGGCTGTACGTTCTTTTGCTTAGATGTCAAAAGTGACACCATTCCTTAGGGCCAGCTCTGGGGCCGTAATGTCGGTCAAAACCCAGACTGTTCCCACAAGACCAGCGAGCAGGAGGTTTCCTCTGCTTCCTAGTAGGGGATGCCCGAAGAGGTGTGTTGAGAAGTATCCTGGGGTTCTGTGCAGGCTCAGCAGGGGAGGACGCAGGGATTTCTCAGGGATGTGTGCTGAGGGCCCCGTGCGGTGGGTGTGGAGTGCGAGGGCAGTAGTGTGGGCCAGAGATGATGTGTGCGTTACTTGAAGACTAGACAAGTTTCTCCTGGAGTCTCTTTGGCTCTGACCCAAGAGGACTTCCTCAGGGCTGATGGGAATTGAACAGAGAGTCAAGGAATGGCCCACTGGAAAACCAGAGGCGAAGGAGGAGAAGGTATCTGGGGAATGATTTGAAGGTCCTACTAAGGGGCCATCCAGAGAATTCTCAAAAGCCAGGTGAGAGAAAGAATAGCTTTAAGCATCTCCCCGGACAATAGAGTGAGTTTAAAGCCGGTTATGAGTCTCTGATCAAAGTGTGTGCATTGATAAAAAGCCCTGAAATAGTGTTGTAGAATTCAGTGAGAGTGATAAAACCAGTGCCCAGGAAATGGACTGACTTCACTGGAAAGTTATTTTCCGAGCTCAGCCCCCGGATGCCTGGAAAATGTTAATATTGTTCTGGAGTCCTGGCGTGCGTCCTCAGGTCATAAATACCAAAGCTTGGGAGGACTGGGATTTTATCTGTATCTTTTATAAAGACTTGGAATGGGTGATTCAGAGAGACAGATAGGTTGTGGGGACAGGGGCCTGATGAGAATACAATGGCCACAGACTTAATTCTGTGAAGTTATAGTTTCCTCCAAAGTCTTGCATGGGTGTTCATAAGACTTCACCCCTGCTATCATTTCCCGGCCCCTAGAAAGTCCTGGGCGTTTTTCCATTTCAACAGAGGCTACCTGACACATTTTGTTTAAGAAACAGTGAAAACTTTAACTATGACAGAGAGAGAGCTCTAGGCTTTATTTCTTCTTTCAGCATATATGGTGACTCCTGTGTCACTAAATTATAACAAATGGTGCTAGAAATAGAGTGCAAAATATGGAAAGGGAGAGAAGAAAAACACACCCGATTTTGTCTAGATACGTGTTACCAAATGGTTTTACAGTAACTCTCCTAGCGAGGTCTCCAGAGCAAATTGTTCATCATGCCTACCATTGCTCCCAGCTTATTTTTAGATGTCGATCAATAAAAAAGGAAAAAGTCTGGGGCACCTGGGTGGCTCAGTCGCTTAAGCATCCAACTCTTGGTTTTGGCTCGTGTCATGATCGCCCGGTTCGGGAGTTCGAGCTTCGTGTCGGGCTCCGCGCTGACAGTGTGGAGCCTGCTTGGGATTCTCTTTCCCCCTCTCTCTTTTCCCCTCCCCTGCTCATGTTCTCTCTTTCTCTCTCTGTGTCTCAGAATAAGTAAATAAATTACAAAACAAAAATCTTAGGTGAAGTATAAAAAGAGGGGACTAACATGCAAAGTGTTTTTGTTTGCATCCAGAAATTGCTGAGGACTCTAATCCAAGTTACTTATCACTTAACCACTCTGTTTCTTTAGAATTGAATGTGGCCGCAGGGGATGGTAAGGGGCGTGCAGACAATAAAAATGTATTGAAGGTAAATTGACAAAAAAAAAAAAAAAAAAAGACAACTATGTATCCTGGTTTAATCGGCACCCGTGCTGGGTGCGTGTTCTATGAAATCAGTGAATTCCCACGTATCACCCCCTATGGAGGGTAGGGAGGAAAAAGAAACACAGCATCAGGCCTAAGAGCTTCTCATATACACATTTGTAACAGACGAATGTATGCATATATATTACATGGATGGATACCTATTTTGAAACAAGCTGGAGTCCACATGAGCAACAGCACACGGAAAACACGGTAGTTGTAATTATATTAAAGCTAACGTGTTTTAAAAAACTGACGTATTGGGGCACCTGGGTGGCTCAGGAGGTTGAGCGTTGACTCTTGATTTCAGCTTAGATCACGGTCCTCGGGGTCATGGGATGGAGCCCTGCATCGGGCTCTGCACTGAGTGTGGAATCTGCTTAGGATTCTCTCTCTCTCTTTCCCTCTGCCCCCGCCCCCCTCAAAAATAAATACAATGGAAAAAAAAAAAAAAAACCACTGACGTATGATTGACAGGCATGGTAACTCCTTGGGGGGTGGTAACTTCATTCAGTCCCTGCCTGCCTGTCTTCAGGTCTCAAACAGAACGTCCCTTTCTCATGGGGCTTTCCGCCAACTTAAAATAAAGTTAAGTCCCTCCTGTTACTCCGTTACCATCTTTCATATGGTTTTTCCCTTTTTGTGTGTCAATGTTTCTTGTGTTTCTTCACTTTCTTCCTACTTCCCCCAGAATCTGGAAGCTCCATTAGGGCAGGAACCTTGACAGCTTTACTTACCGTTGTGACTTACTGTACTGCCTGGAGTCTAATAACGGCCCAAAAATCATCGATAGAAAGAAAAAAAAAAAAGAATTGTCATGCACACGATAATCAACGCCAGTATTACAGTGCCAAATCAGGCTCCAAATGTATCTTTTTCCTTTCGGTGACTGAAGAGTATCCAGAGTGGCGTTAGTGTTCTTAATATTCCTAGATGGTCTTACAGGTAAACCTTTGTCACCAAATGCAGGTTCCTGGATTTGAATCCTGCCTCTGCCACCGACCAGCTGGTTACCTAAGAGCAAGTTACTTGATCTCTCTTTTATTTTTTTTCATTTTTTAAATGTTTATTTATTCTTATGTGGGTGGGTGGGAGACGGGCAGAGAGAGAGGCAGACACAGACTCCGAAGCAGGCTCCAGGCTCTGAGCCGTCAGCACGAAGCCCGACCAGGGGCTCGAACTCACGAGCGTGAGACCACGACCCGAGCCGAAGTCGGACGCTCAACCGACTGAGCCACCCAGGCGCCCCTTGATCTCTCTCATGTCATTTTGTAAACATAGGACACGAATAGCACCTGCCTCATGGTTCATAAGGGGAGTAAATGAGAGTTAATACGTGTAAGGTTCTTACACGAGTGACAGAAATATGTAGTAAATAAATCCAGGCCATACGGCAGGATACAGTGTTGGTAAGCAAGCGGGCAGATTTATAATTTATAGTTTACAATTTTATAGTTTACAAATTTATAATTTGCAATCTATTTTGGATAAACTTCTAAAAAATGTATGGATAATGTGAAGGACGCATGTATTTATCCATCCAACCGAACTTTCCCCTGGCTAGATGGGCTTGCCAGCTTCAAAAGTTTCCTGAAGTCTGAATTCAGTGAGGAAAACCTCGAGTTCTGGCTGGCCTGTGAGGACTACAAGAAGATCAAGTCCCCTGCCAAGATGGCCGAGAAGGCGAAGAAAATTTATGAAGAATTCATCCAAACGGAGGCTCCTAAAGAGGTAGGTCTTGATGGGTGAGTGAGGGTGGTCACCGTGGGCTGAGCTGCACGTCAGGGAGGATGGGAACCCCGCCCCGGGCTCATCGGTGGCGGTCAGCAAACATTTGTGAGGCGAATGGATGCGGACATTCCAATCCCAGGCTTTCCTCCACGTGTGACTTCGGACGGGTTCTCCTATCCTCGGTACCCTTCGCTGTAAACATCTCACGTACGTGTATGTGTGTGTGTACCTAGAGCATGCTTCAATGTTTATTTATTTGGGGGGGGGGGCGGGGGAGGGGCAGAGAGAAAGGGAGACAGAGAGAATCCCAAGCAGGCTCCGTGCTGTCAGCGCAGAGCCCGACTCGGGGCTCCATCCCACAAACTGTGAGATCAGGACGTGAGCCAAAACCAAGAGTCAGACGCTTAGCTGACTGAGCCACCCAGGCACCCCTGGCACTAAGATTTTAAAAAGAGAAATGGCCACACATAGTTGAATGCGTGGATGATGTGGACATTGCCGATCGTCAGGCGATCATACCTGGTTACCGTAATCGTATTTTCCTGGCTCAGCAAACATGTGAATCTGTATCAGAACGATTCATTAGAGGGGGCCTGCGCACATAAAAGTAATAAAACCAGTAGAGGCTGCACGTCACTGGATACAATGTGTTAGAGAGAAGTAAGGTCATCCCTTCTTTTAAACATTAAGACTAGGAGAGCGCTTTATACTTTTTTGAAATTCAACCATTCTGTGTAGGGTTGCCTACCTAGCTCAGTATATATTCACGGTGAGAGAGGAAGAAGCATTGCTTTAGTGTGGCAAGAGGAATAAAACGAGGGGCGCCTGGGTGTCCCAGTTAGTTAAGCCTCTGACTTCGGCTCAGGTCGTGATCTCGCAGTTTGGGAGTTCGAGCCCTGGTGTTAGGCTCTGTGCTGACAGCTCAGAGCCTGGAACCTGCTGCGGGTTCTGTGTCTCCCTCTCTCTTTGCCACTCCCCTGCTCATTCTCTCTCTCTCTCTCTGAATACAAATAAACACTAAAAAAAAAACAAACCAAAAACATCGGACTCTCAATTTTGACTCCGGTCATGATCTCACAGTTTGTGGGTTCGAGCTCCGCATCGGGCTCCATGCTCACAGTGTAGAGCCTGCTTGGGATTCTCTCTCTCTCTCTCTCTCTCTCTGCCCCTCTCCTGATCGCATTCCCTCTCTCAAAATAAGTAAACATTTTTTTAATTAAAAAAAAGAAGAAGAAAAGCCTGGGAACAGAGAGGTATACATTACAGCGTCGCCTCCATCCTGTCCCTCCTGAGCGCTAGCGGGCATGTAACTTGACCTCACCGGGCTGGGGTCCCCACATGCAGAGTCAGGCCCTGGACCTCAGCTCTGAGGCTGTGCTGCATCGTTTCCTCCTGCAGAAAGCACTCCGGCCCCTCTCACCATGGAAAATCTTACCACAGTCTCAACTCCTTTTATCTTGGAGCTTGGGGCCCAGCTCACGCCCGCTGTCCGGCCCATCCTGGCCTGGCACTCTCCGCCAGGCTTTTGTCCCTGACTCTGCCTGCATCCACACCCACATCCTCTGAGCGCAGAGAGCTTTTCCGGTGTCGAGGACCTCTAGCAGCCCAGGAGCGATCTAGGACGTTTTGCGACGCTCCAATTCAGAACCACTGGCCAATTTGGATTCTGTTTCTTTCTCTTACAGCCAGGTAGCTTAAGGGTCCTTAAAGCCCACGAGATGATGAGCAGCGAATCCTCCCAAGTCACACTCAGGCAGGCCCGTGCAGGGCTGTGCCCTGCACAGTCCGGGGGACCATCCACCTGGCCCTTAATACGAACGGCGTCCCCCCGGGGACTTGGGCGATGTGTCGCTAACTGCACGCAGGACATCAAGCCGCGACGCCTTCCAAGGCTGCAGTCTATTGGTGAAGGGCGACACTGCCTGGCTTTTTAATCTTGTCTCTCCCACTCGTGACCTGGAGCGAATGCCTCGCATTCTGCCCCTCGGTCGTAAGATGGACATGTGGGTGTCCCGCTCAGAGCGGCGAGGTTCAAGGGGAGCCTCGACCCAGAGCCCGTAAGACTAACGTTCCCGGCCAAGAGCCTGTGTAGACGAAGCGCCTGATGAACACTAGCCGCTATTCTTATCATTTGTCTGTCAAAAACACTGTTGCCTGGTTTGTTCCGGGAAAGGCCCCATTTCCTCGCTCTTCCAGATCCGTAAAAAAAGCTTCTGGATCGGGTCAGAGTTCGCTTCTCTTCTTCCCTGTCTCCGTCAGGCGTGAAAGCACACGCGGCCGAGGGAAGGTTGAGGGATGAGGTGTCAGGACACGCGGATTCAAACTCTGAGTCTCTGACTCATGTGCACGCCTTAGCTCGGTGCCCTGGAGAAAGCCACTTAAGCTTTGCCTACACATGTTCTTGGGGTTCTTGTGAGGGTCAAAAGCCGTAAGCACGGTAGCTGCCGGTGGAATTCGAACACGCACGTTATTTGGACCGTAATCCGACTCGTGCATTTTTTAGAGTATCTCTTGCTTCACCCCACTGCCTATAAAACAGAAATGACATTTCTTCTCACTTCTTAGGAGCCCCTTCCCCTCATGAGTTTATTGGTGACCAATTCCTGTCCCTCCCCACCCCCCCCCCCCCCAACCCCCCATCAAATCCTGCCACCTGGGCTGACTCGTGACCCTGTTTCCCGGCCCGCAGGTGAATATCGATCACTTCACAAAGGACATCACAACGAAGAACCTGGTGGAACCGTCCCCGAGCAGCTTCGATGTGGCCCAGAAAAGAATCTATGCCCTGATGGAAAAGGATTCACTGCCTCGCTTTGTGCGCTCGGAGTTTTATCAGGAATTAATCAAGTAGTAATTTAGCCGGGCTGTGTGGATCATCCAGTGAGTTATTTCCTCTGTAATAACCCTGCATTTTCCAGCAATCTAATCTACATTAGCTTCCCATGGCTGCTTCATTCGAAGATACCCAAATGGGAAAATCCCGGGTGGCGTTGTTGACTCTTTTTGTGCACATTGTTTTGGATGTTTATCTAGTGACCGAATGCCTTCCTCCCCCGATTTCTTCTTCCTGCCCCATTCTTAAGGATGTTGTTGTCAACGCTAATCACAGTCACAGGGAAATTCTGCTTATGGCAAGGAAACATAAGAAAAGAATATGATACCGTAGATATGGTTTAGGTAATGGATCTCTATCCACCCAGATTGGTACGAAAAAGAATGTGGATGTGGAAAGACCGATTTCAAATGAGATCCATTGATCTCATTTGTTGTTTTCATTCTGACCCAGGGGGAATTATCCCTCCATTTCTGACCTTGGTTACTAAAAGGTGGTAAGAATTTTATGAGGCAGCCATTATTTGATTTCTAAGCAAAGACATTATTTAAAATATCAATCTTCCCTTTAGAGCCTCTTTGCATTGGCTGGAGATCACTAGCCAGAGATATAACCATAAATATGTTATGTTTATACAAAGTCAAGCTGAATACAATCCATATTGGTTCTTTCCTTGTACCTCTCTCATACCCCCCACCAAGTTACCAAATCTTGTATTAAATCAACAACCTGACAATGGAGTGTTTAATAAATGTGTGTATATATATATATATATATATATATGCATCTAAGTACGTAGGCCCAAAGTTTCCATTTTCAAATTATTTTAAGTCCCTGTGAGTATAAAATTCCAAACTTTGCAACTCCACTCACGTAAAATACAACAGATGCCGTCCAGCGCGATTTCTCTTACCGCCACATCAGGAGAGCTATCCACTAAAATGGGAAAACTTTGTCAGGCCTACAAATGGCTAATTACCCTATGATGCCATCTGTTTATTTAGGGAATGGCGATTATCTTCAAAAGATCAAATTATCTTTAGAAAAATTAATTCGACTGTGGACGCCTTCTGGGATAGCATTCCGAAGGACCCCACATTTTGCGAAATAATGTGATTTTTTACCAACTCCGTCTCTCCCTGCCCTGTTTTGCTGCCCATGTTAGTGGGTTGTACTCGTCTTCAAAGTGCACATTTATATCCTAACGTGACTTGCACACAGCTGATCGATAGGCCGTGGTATTTTTTTTAGTAGTTTTAAACTTTTAATTCCGTCTTTCGTTATTGTAAGTCTCACTAGATTTTTTTCTTATCTCTAGTAGATTTAAGTAATGATTTACATAATTTAGTAATAAGGAGAATCAAGCTAAACTATATTTGAAGCTAACCAGGGAGAGGATATTGAGTTAATTTGAAAAGAACTTGTTAAGGATTAATAAAATTCTGAAGTGTTTAAGGAGAAGATTACATTTAGTCTTGTATTTACTCCTTTTATTTCCCTTTCTCTTCCACACACTCCTAGTTTTCCATGTTTGTAGCCTGTTTATTCAATTACTTCCTGAGAATATCGTTACCATATCCTTCAGGCAAACACTGGCTGTTTTTGTTGGCTTTTCTCTAATTTTGCTATTTCAAAGGATACCATGCACTTCTGAATACTTGCTACTTATCTCACATTCTGAAAGTGGGCTGGACTAAGTGGGTCCACTGTCAACGGTTGCCAGTGTGGTAAGAGTCCACTTATAGGTGTAGACATTGCTCACTGCAGAGAAGCTTGTCATAAGCAGTCGACAGCTCTCACCGTGAGCATGGAGACATCCTCGCCATGTGCGTTTGTGTAGAAGTGACAGGCGACTCAGATCAAAAATTCCTGGTACTGCCTTCCTCAGCATCCGTCTACACTGTCCAGATTAGCATAAAATCTCCAGCCCTTGAGTTTCTCATGCAGCTAGAAAGGGTAAGAACGCAAGGATCTAGGGGAGTTACTGTCCTTGAATGCCAAAACATTTTTCAGAAAAATGTTCGTTGAATTAAAAATTCAAAATTTTTGATTCGCATTATTTGAAAGAGCCAAATGGTTGCAAACGCTCAGAGAATCTACTAGATGTTACAGAGCTCACCCAGATGGTTGATGTTGCACAGACCCAGATCAACTGGATTCACAAACTGCACGCCCTCTGGCGGTGGGGAGGACTTGTCTGTGGACGGTAAAAGGGAGGCCTTCACCTTTCCATAGGCTGAACTCAGGAGGCAGAGGGCAGGAAAAGCACCATGAGGGCAGGGCTGTGAAGGAAAATAAAAATGAATGCTTCCCAGCCAAACAACGACCTGTAATAGAGACATCTGTATATACTATTTTAAATTTAAAGTAGTATACACACACAATAGAAACTATTCTAACATATGAAATGAAAAAATTCAAAGGAAAGCAAGTATCACAGCCCCAAATGAGAAAAGCAAACATATCAAAATTGCCCTAAAAAAGTTCTTTGAAATCTTTCAAAAGGGTTTTTAAACTTAGACAAAAGAAAATTAAAAAAAAAAAACCCACAGTGTTACTGGAAGTTTCCATGGTAACACAAAGAAAATAACATTCGTTTAATTCTGGGAACTTAGAAAAACTGGGATGATCCTTCCAGGAAAATAAAAACCTGTGTAATGTCTGTGTCTCACTGCCTCCCCCGGCG